GAAATATATTCCACTTCTATTTTTCACTTGATCGCATTAATAAGATCGGTAACGGATGACACTTGATTAGTTAGATATGAATTTTTTTCTCTTAATTGGTATGACAGCACAGAAAAAATAGCAGACATCTCTCTATCTACATCTATACTAAAAGAAAAACATCACTTGTCATCACTATAGTAGTACATCGATGAAACTTCCTTACTCTTTACAATTAGTTTACTCTGATATATATGCACATTAATAAAAAAAAAAGGAATATCATTTGCATTACAGAATAGAAACTCGTTGCACTAATTTTCTAACGTTATTCAGTCGTCGAGTGGAAACGCTTAAAACACCTTGAATATACTTTTAGCTTATTTATTAGCATATTCAATGACTTATACGCGCGACAGGCACCTTATAAGGGTAAATCAGCATACTCACATTTATTAGTGTCTGCAAAACATTGACTGATGATATATACGTTTCGGAAAAAGAGAAGATATCAATCGCTTCTTTTTTTATGTTTGTCATTCTGTTAACGATATCAAACGTATTAAATGAATTTATGGATATTATTTTCAAGTAATAATAAACGATGTCCTTGATTAAAGAAAAATATATGACTTAGATATATATAATGATAGATTGATTCCTAATTTCTTTTCAAGAAAATTAGTTTGACTTCACTAAAGTTATTGAGCATAAGGAAAATGAATATTTATTGTTTTGAGTTGAAAGACATGTTATTAATCCCTATCTTCCATGAATATATGGAAACATGTCAAACAAATTATTTCAACTGATGATATATACATGATAAATAATAATAATAACATCGTCACAAGACAACCTACAAGCAATTGAGACAAGTAACTAACATATACATTGATGGTAAAATCAAATGACTGAAGTAGTTAGATATAATCACTTGCAACAAAACACACATATCATCAACAATAAGGTCATGTTCTGTCGAATTATACAGGCGATTTTTCAGGGACAAAATTATCAAAATAACTTGATAATTAATGACATGGCTTGATTTACAATGTTTATAGTTTATACAACTAAATATTTCAAGCTATACTTTTTGTAAGATTGTTAAAACGCACATTTTGATCTCTAAACTGTCGATCTATGAGTAGCAAAAGACGTAACTAAATGTCGAGTGTAAAGAGCTGATTGAATGACACTTCAATAAAACGTACGAGCACTTACAGAACTTTGACGGAATAACCAGACAGTATTCGTACTCTATACGGAATAGGAATAGGACAGTTCCAGTTCCTAAAGTACTTGAGAACTGGCGAAAAGAAGTGGTCATTAGTTCAGTTCTTGTTGAACAAAAAGTGTTACCAGTTCTTTTCAAGAATTCAAAATCAAATAAAACCGATGAAACTAGTTACATTGACTTTGTTTAGTTCATTAAACGCACCATTTACCTTTAATCCACTAAACAAAGTCAATATAACTAGTTTCGTCGGTTTTATTCGATTTCGAATTCTTGAAAAGAACTGGTAAGCAGTTCCCTTTCAAAAGAACTGAACTAGAACTGTCCTACTCCTAATATAGAACACAGAAAACAACTGTGATATAGTTAGTGTTGACTTATAATGCTTCTAGCAAAACATTAAGACAAAATATCAGAAACGCATCTGCACATCTATTACGCCTTTCTCATATATATTTTCGATGTTTTGGGATCAACGCAAAAAGTCTTTTAATCAGTAACAGTCTCATTTTGCCCAGTATTTTGGCGACATCTTGTGAACAATGTTTAGATTAAGTCAGAAAACATTTCGTCACCATACCTCGACGTTATCAAAAACGTATTGTTATAACTCACACCGTCGAAAAGTGTTATTTGTCGTGTACGTCATTTAGAACAAAAGTAGGAACTCAGAGTAAAATCATAATGAAACGCAAGTATCAACTGAAAAATTTTTTAGAAATCTTTCTATATCTACAGAAATCGACCAAATTCAATGTTCTGATTTTAACTTGCTCTCAGGTAGTAGTGTCGATTCAAAGCTAATGCGGGCTCTTCAACATCCATCTGGATGGAGAATTTAGAGAAATATGAAATGTTATATAGAAAAAAAGATGTAGCAGATATGGGAAAACGCAACTATTTTTCTAAAAAACTTGACCTAAAGACAATTTGTGTATATACTTCTATAGGTCTTCGGCTATGCGGTTCCCGCTACTCTTATGTCACATATGTACCTCCCTATCTAGACATGTTTTTTGCTAAAAATACCACTCAAGACAAGGCGGAAGACGTTTTATTGAGTTATTCCGAAAAATTTTCTGTGTATATTTCTTCTCAAAAAAGTTTGGCTGATAACGAAAAAGAAAAAAAAGCCTTCAACTTTTCTGATTGAGCAAATATTTTTAAGAATTGAGTATTGTTTTTTTCTTAAGTAAGTAATTCATTTCAAACAGGAAGAGGGAATTCTCCTACCTTCCCCCCCACCTAATCGAAAACGCTGAGAAGAATTTTCAATTTCAATTTCCATTCACAAGAATCCAATGGAAATTGAAATAGTAAAAGAAAGGAAAGGAAAAATACAGTTATATATTTAAGTAGTAGAAAAAAAATTTCACGCAATTAGTTATAAGTCATATTTGAGAGATTTTATGAAAAACTCGATGCGTACGTACTCAAAAATAAATGAAAAATTTCGTGATAAATATGTAATTAAGCAAGATATGTACGATGATGTCATTGTAATATTACATGATGGTTGGAGCATTGTATAATTCAAGTTTTAGATAAACAGGCATTTCAAATTGGTAAAAATGGGCGAAACAAATGTCGTTTATAGTATTAAAGTTAATTGATCTATTGTTTCGTATAAAAAAATGTTCAAAAAAGTCAAAGAATGTCATGAACCAGTCAGATATTTCGAGCGTGATAAAACTTGGACTGAAGTAAGTTTTCAAAAATATTTGATGTGAAATAAGTATTGATATGAATTTATGAGTCTACTTAGATCAAAGGTTACTATACGTGGATTTCATAAGACGTCGTTAGTTTATTTATTTCATTGTGTGATGCTTGTAGCAATTATTTTGTTGACTAATAATATTCTCAGTAAAAAGGGCACTCCTTTTACTATTCATATCACGTAAATCAAATTTTAATTTGCACTGTAATGGAGCTTGAAATATGAGTGTTGGTCACTTTTGTCTAGTAGAATTTAAAATCTCACTATAATATTGTTGTATAGCTTCTTTTTCTTAATTCAAACTTAAGTATGAAAAAAGTATAGTATGAACATAGTCAAATATACGTAATGACTATAATAAATTTTTGACTAAACACATATTTTAACAACCAGAACTAGTTTGTATCCTGTTTTGTGTTCGAGCAAGTTTAGTCTATTTAAAAGGTTCATGTTTGAATAGACTTGTAAATAAGTATTTAAATGGCTTTATGCCAGTAGCTAACGGATTAAAAGTTGTATTTATTATTATCACTAATATATCTGAAATTACGGAAACAAGTTCATATGAAAATTTAGATCTTTTAAATTGATATGTTTTATTTGACGAATAATTTCAAGAATTCGGAAAGCTCGACAATTTTTCAATTTTCATCAAGTGTAGTTGGCGTCTTGGTTTTATCGTACTTCCACAACACTTGCTGAAAACCATTAAGAACATGCTGTTATTTAAGTGATCAGTAAAATAGATAAAATGGTCAGTAAGTGAAATAATTATAAAATCAGTAAATTAAATGATTGATCAGTACAATAACTGAGTGATCAGTAAACTACTTAAATGGTCAGTTATTAATTAATTAGGTTTGTTAATAAATTTAAAAATCAGTAAATAAAATTTATTGACAGTCGAGTATATTAAAGAGTAGGTATAGAAACTGAAATGTGTTAGTGTGATTTACTTTTTTTTTCTTCTTTCTACTGCTAATTATATATAATAAACTGACCATTTTACAATTAATTACTGATCATTTTAGTGTTGACTATTCAATATTTATACTAATCATTTATATATTTTGTTACTGGCCATTTCATCTATTTAACTGACTAAATATTATATTCAAAAATTTGTGTATTTCAGAGATAAGATTAGGGACTATAACACAATGTGTGTTCACTGAAAACTGATTTTTGTTTTTGACACAAATCATTGTATTTAATAGTGAAAGAGTTTTAATGACTTTCGTATATTTTACAAACCCTAGTGAAAAACTTCCTCGATTCTTACTAAGATCTTAGAAAAATCTTATTAAGATCTTAGTAAGATTTCGCTTACATTTGTCTAAGATCTTGAACAAATCTTACTAAAATCATGAGACCCGAAAATTCTAAGATTTTAAATAATATTTTTCTAAGGTCTTAGACAAATATACGCGAAATTTTACTAAGATCTTAATAAGATTATACTGTCTAAAATTTTTTTAAGATTGGATAAGAATCTGTTAGGATCTTAATAGTGAGAACGATGATATTTTTTAAATAATATTCATCCAATCCGAAATTCGCTGAAAATTTTTCAGATTTTAATCCGCGTTATCCAAAGTAGCAATTGAACAGTGTTGACGAATGAAGAGAAATTTCATATTTTCAGGTGTCCAACTATGGATCTTGACCTGCATGTACACTCTCTAAAAAGTTGTTGAACACTTTCGAGAGAGCAAGTACTAGCAGACTCTGGAAGAAAAATAACCGTAAAATCAGTCATATTTTCGGTGTTATTCATATAAATGAATGAGAGCAAAATAAAAGGGTGATGAAAGTAGAGTCATTAAATCTTATTAAGATCTTAGATTAGCTTATCGAAATCTTAAAGGATAAAATCTTAGTAAGATAATTTTAAGAAGTGTCTACGATTTTTACTAGGGAAAATGAGTTCTGTGCTTCACTTCAGTTGAAAATAATCTGAACTTTTCAGAATATTTAGTTTTTTCTCGTGTAACACAGATAATCATAGACACAATTCTAATCGTACTGCCTACCGATATTTTATTATGACTAAAATGTAATCTATAAAATAGCACAAAATTTTATTTTTGTCCGCTTTTTTCGTATGACTCTTCTTGCCAATAGTTTTTGTAATTCACTTCGTAATGAGACATATTCTGTGATGGGAAGATTGTTTCCTGTTCGTGTCAAAAGCTCTTCATTTAAACTATGATACATAGCTGCTGGTTCAATATTCAATATTTCACTTAGATTAATGAGAGCTTGTCCATTTAGACGTATGATTAATGGTTCCAAACAATGAAATGAATTTGCTTCACACCAATCACTAACATCATATTCTGTCCATTGAGATAACGGTCTAAGCATATAATTTCGTGTTACACATGCAACAGAATTTTGTGGTCTTGTTTCGTGTTGAAAATGAAATGATTGTGTTATTTGTTGATTGTCAAATGATGATAATTCACCATTATTATTACTATTATCATTATTTGTTTGATTTTCCGACAATTGATCTGAATTAATTGATAATGAACGAACATCTTTTCGACTACTAGTTGTGGATGATTTATGATCAGAAAATGATACTGTTGGTGGTGTTTGATAAAGAGTTGAAGCGGATGCGGGTCTTGAGATAATTTTCCTTTGAAAACGTCGTTTATCATTTGAATGATGTTGTTCATCTCGAACAATATCTGGCAATGTTATTGTTCGTGGTGTTTTTGGTTTATCTGTAGTTAGAATTTGATTTATTTCCGCAACTAATAATTCATTTGAAAAATCAAAATGATTGGAAAAATTTGCTGTTATTTTTGTTTCGGTAATCGTTGTCGATAGCCAGCTATCTTCAACATCAAATTCATTTTCAACAACAATTGTTATCAACGGTTTATTTAAATAACGATTTAATATGACACATAGACGAGATAAATTGTCTGTTTTCATTTCATTATTTGCGCATATTATTGTCAAACTACTCTTCTCGATACAACTAGTTATATCCTTAAGTGAGAAAATATCGGGACATTTTAATGTGATAATCTCAACATTGTAATTTTCTCGTGTTAAACGATCACGTATTCGAATATTTGTATCTATTGTGTCATTGCTCACGTTCATGATTAAATTCGTAGTCAATTGATCAGTATCGCTTTCTAAAATGTGTAAAGTTAGTATGTTACTTTCTAAAGTTTAAAAATAAATTAAAAATAATGATTACCTGTTGGTCCATTCATCATGTGTTCAGCTCCACTACTATTGTCGAGATTCCACAATATTCCATCAAAGTATATATTTATGTGTGATGGAGACTGTGTATTTTGAAGTCGGAGTAGACGAACGAATTCTGCTCGCTTTTTAATTGAATCATGACTATTTACTGTAAATGACAATGTCCATAGGAGATCGACCATATTTTTATATGTTTCACGTATGGTGTCAACTGTCACTGTATTATGCGTTTGTTCGATTCTTTGAGAATATGGTTCTAATTCATGAAATATTAATATAATATCAATGATAATACTAATTATTAAATTAATTTTTCCAATTTCAATAGCTATGGGGGTATGTAGAAGAAAACGTTGTACTATTTGTATAAAATCAATTATATTTTTAAATTTTGGTATAAGATCATGAAATGTTGTCAAATTTTGATCAGTTGATTCAAATGCATTATCATTCACATATGATAGATTTTGACGTATTTCATCTACTGTTGTTAAAGTTTGTAAAAAATCTTGAAATACATTTGATATTTTTATATTTAACATTTGTGCTATACGTTTAATAATATTTTCTTTTCGTAAATCTTGACCAGAAAGTAATTTTGAAAATAAATTTAAAATATCATATGTAATACTTGTTGGACCTATTTGTTTACAGATATAGAGAATAGTTTTTACTAAACCTAAACGTCTTAAATGTCTTTTGCCTGCAGTTTGAATACTAATTGTATTAAATAAATTAATAATATATGATAATGTTGTTTTATTACAGAAAAGTGTTGATTTTCGTTGTTCATATTTATAATTAGTTGTAATTAATGATTGTTCAAATGGAACTAATAATACTGACGATATATTATCTCTTACAATTAAATCAAGGTTAATTATTGAATGTTGTTGTATACACCAATCAAGTAAACGAATAAGATTTTCGGATAAACGATCCATAATTGAATACCAATAACTATTTTTATTACGTATATCTGTTGAACCAATTATATTAAATAATTCTTCTAAAATCATATGAATATATTGAAGAAGTTTTAAAAAATATTTTAAATCAATTGTTGTCATTAAAACATAATCAATACATGAATAAAGAATAAATTGTATTTTAACTGTTAAAATTGATGTTTTATTTGTACGAGATAATAATGAACCATAATACAGTGACAGTTGACACCATACGTGAAACATATAAAAATATGGTCGATCTCCTATGGACATTGTCATTTACAGTAAATAGTCATGATTCAATTAAAAAGCG